CCCCTCACCTTACTTTTTATGTTCCTCACCAAAGAGCTTTGCCCACATTCAATCCGGTCACTTGACTGCATACTTGGTCCCACAACAGTAACTTCCGGGAGTTATGTACTTGCTGCCCCCCGTCACACCACCCAGCACGCTAGGCAGGTACTGATTACTTATCCTCGCATATCCCCTGTGCTACGCAATCGCACCAACACCATGCACTCCTGCAGCACCAAACGCTGTATACACATCTGTTGTTTTCATCCCAACACAACAAATCCCATTGTCACACCCAATACCCATTCCTCGGAATGCCTGCGTGACGTTGTGCACAGCTTGTTTGGCTAATTGGTCTTCAAGTCTACCTATTGTCTTCCGCAACTCCGAGTTTTCCTCTACCATTTACCTAAACTTGTCGTCCTTCACTTTGAACATGCAAGTGAAACCACCAACTATATCCACAATTTGTTTCTCTTTCATCCTTTTCAATTGTTCAACCTCGTCTTGCAACTTCATTATCATGGAATCTTTAATCATGGATTGTGTATGCAATGAATCAATTTCTGCTAACGCTTCTGTGAGTTTTACATTATCACCACCCTCGCGCGTAACATGGCTTGAGTGGCTTACTGTCAACCCAATACCCTGTTTGTCCAGCCCACCAACCACCACGTCAGAACCAATGCGACTTGTGTCATCACTACCACTTAGCCCAAGTTTGCCACCCACCCCACCAAGAAACACGTCGTCATTGTGATCATCACCCTCACTCACATCATCATCGACCCTTCCGTCCCCAACTACTCTATCAGCCCCACCATTACTGTCACATCCACCTATTTCCCCGTATGCATCAACATTACCGTCTGGCCGTTTATCAAAATCTTCCCCAGCTATGATAACTTTTTCGTATGGTTCCCTGACAAGCATTCCAACCCTCACCTGACACACATGCACGTGCAAAAAACCCACCATTACAAACGTACAAAGTCAAAACATACAACAAAACTAATTACTCACGTACCTGAAACAGTGCCTCGGACGTCAAATCCAAACCACGCATCCTCACCAGCAACGTGCTTATGTTCCATTTCAAGAACCTTGGGAACATGATCGATTTACCAGTGGCCACAATGTTGGTATGTTCACATAACCAATACTGTGTAACACCCAAAACCAACAGTTAACGAATTGCAACATTCCAATGTCTAAACATACGCATCCGGACAATACAACTAACCAGTAAACATGTAATAAGTTTACAGACAAAACTGCTTGTTAGCCTATATACATACCAGGAGGGCAACGATGCAAACGGTAACTTTATTTAGTTTTTGGTTAAATTCCCGCACTGACCCCATAAGTGTGTTCAGAATTGCTTCTGTCCAATCATACGTTTGCACTGTGTCCAAGTTGTCGATTTAGCGCACAAACACCCAAGTAATCGTCTCCCTAGACGTTGAAAAAAAAAAGCTTCCCATAAAAATAAAGACACAGCAGTTTTGCCATGTCTTCCTCGTCACAAACCGATTTACCTTTGACAGCATCATCAAGCAACTTTCTGATCAAATTTGTAGTTATTCTCCCTATGCCATCACACTATCGCTGGATGAAATCTGAAGCCGGCCTTGTGCCTAGAGTTAGGTCGAGATGTTGGTCCCCACACTGCAATCCAAACACCAACCTAATGTCTGCATTCCTAATCTTCACTGGACAACCGCCAATGTAGAATGCATCGTCCTATTTATTGAATGTCCTCAAAATCTTCAACACAAGATCGTCACACTTCCTATACTCGTTCCAATCCGGTTTATTAATAACAATGGCTTCAAACATGAGCCAAAATGGTGTCTTTCTCAACTGCCAAAAGTGTCCATCATGCAACCCCAACTCGGACACCACCTTAATAACACCTACCACGTTCGACTGGAAATTGATACGGTGTGTCGTCTTCTTGGGTGACACTCATTTCTGTGTGACATTTTCAGGGGGTTTGAACAACACACGACCCTGCATTGTCACACCTAACTTCGACGATGACGGGACGTGCATTGTATCCAACCATTTACGTTGACATGACCTAGTCCACGGGCTCCTCATCCGTGCAACTTCTGCATATAAAAACACAATGTTAGTAACTAAAAGTCATGAACAATAGTACATATGATACATTGCCTCTATACCAATAACATTTTTTTTAGCCTTCTAAATTGTTCACACACACCCATCATAATACGTCACGATAAAGCTACCCCTAAACCCTACAATGGATATACACAACATCACACACCAACAACTCAAACAACAAATTATGCTACAATATTAGTAAAACATGTGTCACCCATGACTGCCATCCAAATTCGACCCACATTATATCTTAACATATTAACTAGGGGCATGGGGGCAGGAGTCCCAACATTTGTCTTCAAGGCCAAAAGTGCACCCACACATACACATTTTATGAACACACACAGACGGACAACAACCACACAACCTACATACCAACTACCATTCAACAGTCCACACACAAAATACACACACATACAGACAAACCATGAATAAACTCACACACACAGGGTAATAAACGACCCAACCAAGACGACATTCACACATCACACATATACGCTTGATACACAATGGGACAAACTGACTCACACACTATTATATACAATATATATGCACATTTACAGCCCACCGTTAACACCTCACCAACATAAGGATTCAATAAGAACAACTTACGATTGTTCGTCATTATAACAGGGTCACAGATTAGTGTCGTCAGTCCACCATCATCACACCAACAACCCTAATCGTCGCCCACAGAAAACCCTAAAATTCGGTATCTAGCCGCCAAACCCCAAACTCCAACTCCCACCCAACAACAACATAATCGTATTCTTTACTTACGTCATTCAGATCCAAAACACCAAATCTCAAAGATTAACACAGCAATTCAAAACCTAATCACACCAACTACAACAACAAGATTATAGAGATTCGACGACATGATGTTCGGGTGATTGAATAATTCAATTGGGGATTCCATAAAACACAAATGGTATCGACATACGGGTCAGGTTGACGTAATCTGGTCAAATTTTTGCCCCATCACACACGTAGCAGCCAATACAATCTACTATAGCCCTTTTCCCAACGTGACACCCAAACTCGTCCCACTTCCTACGGAATACCAACACCCCATGGCCCACTAACGTTCAAGACGAGGGCACGTTAGTAAACACACATGAAGTAGGACCAATCAGACTACAAAATATCTTTTAGGACTATGGACCACCTTTTCACATTTTAGGATTTATCCGTAAGTCTCCCTTTTATAATAAATCTAAAATTAAATATGAAAAATTACACAAAAAATGTTTGAGCTTGAATCTTATAATAAAATAAATTTTGATTTTATAATTTTATTAATTCAAATCTTAATATTTTGATTTGTTTTTAATATAAATTATTTACCTATTTTCGGAAATAAAACAAACAGAAAAATAACATTTTAGCCATTAAACTCAATATAGATGTACATAAAATATTTAAAACACCATTTTTCATTGAGTTTAATAACTAAATTTTTTTTTTCTTTTCAGTTTTATTTAGTAAAAGTACGCAAATAGTTTAGATTGAAAACAAACCAAAAGATCAATATTTAAATTGATAAAATTAAAAATTAAGAATTTATTTTGTTATAATAATCAAGCCGGATTTTTTTTTCCAATTAAAAAAAGGGACAATCTCGAAAAAAAAAAAAAGGTGTAAACTTAAAATAATTGCAAAGTGGTGGAAGTATAAGACTTAATTGTACAATCTAATGCATAAATTGTTTGTACTTTCATGACATTGTAATTATTTTGTGTTGATACCATTTTTTTGCAATTCTCCCATAAATAAATGATAAAATATAATTTAAAGATTTAAAAAACAAAAAAGAAGTGAAATTAACTTGTGTCTAGGGACTCAGAAAACCAAATTCAGAAAATACCCAAAATGCTAAATTTATGGTGTACAATAAAAGTTTTATGTGAGACCTATCATTAATGATGAATCTAGACCTTTGATTTTAAATTCTGTTAGCTTCTGATTCTTTGTGCCTGGATTCATAGAACTGCTATTTTCAGGTGTGTTGAACAACCCGTAATATGGATAAATCATTATCAACCACCGATGGCTGTCTACCTGTTAGCAAAAATCTGGTTCAGGCCAAATTGATAGAGGAGATTCGATAGAGACCCAAACAACAAACAGATCAAGCAATTGTGGTTTGAATGTCCTATGCATTGACAGATTCAAGGACTTCTTTGGAGATTGTAATGTGACGAAACAAACTAAAAACTGATAAAGTATTGCTGAAATTGTTACTTGTTACAAGGATTTGAACAAAAACAAAAACAAACAAAAAAACAAAAATACAAAAATACAAAAGAATCAGAAAAAAGTTTACAGATTACAATAATCAGAAAATGATTACAAAACTATTAAATTAAAACTACTCCTAAAAGGAATAAACTACTCCTAGGCTAGAAGCTATCTATTTCTAATTGAACTCATGTAGAGTTGTGTTATATTGATCACTTTTTGTTGTGTCTTTTTGCCCTAGGTAGTTTACCTTGAAGACTTGAAGGACCACAATCGTTGCAGCATCATGGCAGTTCCACGCAGCCACTACCCATGTTATTTTCCTTTCCTTCACTTCTTCTCATATAAATCCTTGAATGACGGAAATCTGAGTGTGCACATGGCTTTAACACTTTGTAATCACTCTAGCTACACCAACAACACAAATAAAATAATAATAATAATAATAATAATAATGAAATATAAATATATATATATATGGTCATAATTTTATATTAAAAATAATTTATGATCTAAATTAATAGATCAAAATCGACAGGCTACAATCAATGAAATTTGGCTACAATCAACAAGCCATGATCAATTAAACGGGACTTGGCCATAATTAATAAGTCATAATAAACAGAAATTATTTTTTTGTGCCAACACTACCCCCACACCACACCCGTCATTGATCCACAGTTGACTTAGTAATTTCCAATATTTGTGAGAAATCAATTACGAAGAGATTGATGAGAGAGAAACCATGGGAGCTGATGTACCGATTTCAAGTTTATTAGAGAAATTAAACAAGTTGAAAGACGTTGTCCAGGAAAGATTTATCTATCCAAGACTGAGAAATCATGTACATGTTGCCATCGACGAACTACAACGCATTCGGAACGAACTGGAAGAAACAGAGGATACCAGTACCCTTCTTCCCACTGTTTACACATCAGATGATACCAGTACCCTTCTTCGCTCTGTTTATTCTGCTGAATTTTTAATCGAAACTTTCCTCCTCAACACACCAATTCATTGCCGACGGGAAGATCCCAAAAATCTTACCAAAAACCTGCCAATTCCACCATGGACCCAATTAGGGTTCAGCTCCAAATTGAAAAAATTCGTGAAGAGCTTAAAAGCTGTACATAGTAAATCGCGGCCTCGCAGAGACCATTCGGCAATCAATCACAAAACCCATGAATTTGAAGATGATGATGATGATGAACTTGTTGGATTTGGAGATGTGGCAGAGAAGAATCTGGTAGATCGACTGATCAACGACGACGAGAAAAGCCTCCGCGTGATATCTCTGGTCAGCGAAAAGGCTGTGGGCAAGACAGCTCTGGCAAGGAAGGTTTATAACAGACTCGACGTTCGGCAGTCTTTCGAGTGCCGTGTTTGGCTCCATGTTCCCAAAAATAGAGCTCATGAGCGTGGATGAGCTGTCTGCTCTGCTTTTCCAGACTTTAATGGAGCTCAGGTTTCTAATAGTCTTGGATGATGTCTCCTCGTTTGATGTCTGGCTCATGTTAGCATGTCCCTTTGCAGACGCCGCCAATGGTAGCAGAGTCATCCTCACTACTCGCGACTCTAAGATAGCCTCGGATGTTGATCCGTGGAGTCGCCCACCGCTGGAACTCAAGCCCTTCACTGATGAGCTGAGTTGGGAATTGTTCTCGAACAAGTTTCGTGTAGGCAGACATGACACAGATACACACCACCAGTTAAACAGTTACAAGGTAAAAATTCTGAAAATATGCGGCGGTTTGCCTCCAGCAATTGTCCTGCTTGGACGATTGTTGTCAACTATACAATCTAATGAGTTGGTCTGTGTAATTGATAGTCTTTTAATCGACTTGGACAAACTTGATCAATCACCTCTCTCAAATATTATAGCTTTATGTTTTCGTGAGCTACGGTCTAAGTTGAAGCTATGTTTTCTTTACTTGGCTCTCTTTCCTAAAGAGTATGAGATCTCCGTGCGGAGGCTGTTGCAGTTGTGGATTGCAGAGGGTTTTGTGAAAATGTCAAGTACCCAACAACCTGAAGATATAGCCGGTAAATATTTGAAAGAACTCGTGCACAGAAACATGATTGAAATAGCAACAAGGAAGGAAGACGGAAGGCATAAAACATGCCGAATGCCAAGCTTTCTTCATGATTTCTTCTTTCAAAAATCTGAGGATATAGGATTTATTCACTCCCACCATTGCAGAGCGAATTGTACGCCGATAGATTCACCTGCTCAGCTTAGAACAGATTCACTGGCTGATCAGCCTAATACAGATTCATCTGCTCAGAATAATATAGATTTACCTGCTCAGCCTAATAATGTTTGTTTATCAGATGTTTGTTTTAAAGCCCAAACGAGAGGTACATCCAACGAAAAAATCAATGCGTTGCTTAAAACAATTATCGATAGGAGGGGATCTAGAGGTTTTGTGTTGACGAAGGTGCTTGATCTAGAAGGTGCCCACAGACCTTTGCTACATGCGAAACTCGGCAAGTTTTTGAGCAACTTAAGGTACATAAGCTTGCGATGGACCGGTATAGACTCATGTCCGAAGTCTATTGGCGATCTACCATGCCTGGAGACTTTAGATTTGAAGTATACTAACATAACCAATCTGTCGAGTTCCATTTGGAAGGCGAAGAACCTTCGACATCTGCTTATGAACGAGGTGTCCATTCTGAAGCCATCATCGTCAAAACAGTCTTCAACTTCAATGTCCAACATTCAGACCTTAACGGGCCTCCGAATCGGTTTTGAGGACCCCAAAGAATACGGCTTGAACAGGTTCACCAGCCTTCGGAAATTGGGACTGACTTGCCATTCAAGATCATCAGTGGAGAAAACATGGGATTGCATCTCACAACTTAACAAACTTCAAACTTTCAAGCTGAGATCAAGAGATCATCAATTCGGTCAGCCTTCAGAGCTCGTGATTCCTGACAATCTGACAACCCATCCGTCTCTCTCAAACTTATATTTGTTCGGAGTGTTCAGAATGTTCGAAGTTCGAAACCTTCCCCAAAACCTCAAAACCCTGACACTGTCAATGTCGAAAATCAAAGAAGATCCAATGCCGGAGCTAGGGGAGTTTCTGCCTCAGCTGAACATGCTCAGGCTTTTTGCTGACTCTTTTGTAGGGGAGAAAATGAATTGTCTTGGTGGGGGATTTCCCAAACTTCGTGTGTTGAAATTGTGGATGTTAGAAACCCTCAAGGAGTGGATCGTTGAGGAAGGTGCTATGCCCGAACTCGAAGAATTAGAAATTAGAGGTTGTGAAAAACTGAAAAAGTCGCAAGGATTGGAGCGGCTGAGTCACCTCAAGGAATTCACTTTAACAAACATGAAGCGGGAATTTGTAGAAGATGTTAAACAAAATCTGGCGTCCGTGGACAGATCGCACATACTACTCACCAACAAGTTCAAGTCTTCAACCACTCTTGCATGTAAGTCTTCTGCTTCTTTTTCTTCTTTTTTTTTTTTGATGGAAAATTTCTATCTATAATTATATTTCTTATCTTAGTTTCTCATGACGAAACACAAATGAGTGAATTTCACTTACATTTACTAATGAGAGCCTCTTTGTTTTTTGTTTTAGAATGAGAAAAGGGAATAATGAGTAATGTTACATTTATCATATTTTCATACCACATTCAGTATATATACCATCTCATGTTCAACACATCATTAGTGTAATAAGACCTTTCACTCGTGTCTATTTCCAATGCAATGCACACACATGATATAGTACACTAACGTTGTATTTGGTTAAAGAATTTGAGAAGAAATTTGAAAAGAAAAAAGAAAAAAAAGTAAGTAAAATATAAATAAAATATACCTACATTTCACGTAATTTTACACACATTTTCTCTTTCTTTTTCTAAATCATTTCTCAAATCTTCCAACCAAACACAGCGTAAATTTCACATAAAAAAATGATAAGTGTTACCATTACTCAATGAGATTATATATAACATTACTCCTATTTAATTTCTTCAGCACTTATATATATATATATATGTGTGTGTGGATTTTATTAACAAGTACCCTAAGGATGCATTAAATACGGTTGGCCACATCTACTATCATAGAAAAGACTATAAATATATTTTATTAGAGACTAAACTATTTTTTTCTCCAATTCCTTCTATTTTAACATTATATGTTTTTCATAGAGTTTTTTGCTTTAACATTTTTTTTATCATGCCTTTATTTTTAAATAACATTTTGTGGATTTTTTTAAATATTTTTTTTAAATGTCTTCTATTTTCAATCATAATTAAATTATATGGTGTAAGGAAAATGAATCTAAAAATTAAAAAAAAAAAAAATTTAAGTGCATATAATTTTTTATATTTGTTATAAAAATAACGAAAAATATAAAGGGCATATAATTTTTTATATTTGTTATAAAAATAAACGGACATATAAAAAAAAATTTAAAAAGTCATGAAAAATATTTGTTCTTTATTTTCCTTGCACCATATAATTTAATTATGATTGAAAATCAAGGGCATTTAATTTTTTTTAAAAAAAATCTACAAAATATTATTTAAAAATAAAGGCATTTAAAAAATATTAAAAAAATTCTATTACAAAAGTATATGGGGTTAAAATAGAAGGAATTGGAGAAAATGGTTGTTTAGTCTCTAGTAAAATATATTTATAGTATTTTCTCTTTTATATGATACTGGAGGTGATTATGAGTATTTAATGCATCCTTAAATGATGGTATTGAGATATGTATCGGTATTGGCAATATAGTGTCGATATCAATAGTAAATAATAGATATAATGGTGAAATGAGTAATCTCACTTTGTGGTGTAGACCACGACCTAGTTGAGTTAGTGAGAGACAAGATTTGTCTACATAAGTTCATTTACGATTGTTTTTTTTATTGCCCGATGACACCACGTAAGATGGTGTTACTATTGCACTCAATATTTATTCTAATATCATACCGAACAACATTAACTAATGATATCGCTATCGAAAGTTCAAAATCCCAATATCAGTTGATATTTAAAATCTATATATATATATACCCAGGTGTTATGTATCTAGAAAAAATAATTAAAAAAAATGTCTAACATTTGAATGAATGGTATAAATTTAAATTAATATCTCTACTAAAAATTATTAAGTATTCTTGACATACTATGTAACATTGTTTACACGGTGCTCCTCACAAATGAGAAACAACAAAACACACCAGGTGAGTCATTCTATAACTCCGACATGTGATTAGCCTATAATACATTATTAAGATTGTCTAATAAGTAATTAAGATGAAATTCTAAGTTAAATGCATGTGTTATGTGTAATTGTGTTTATATCTATCCATGGTAGGAATATATGTCTATGTTTCTATTTTGATATGCAAATTAAAGATCTTATTGGTGTCCGAACATGAAACTGATTAGATTAACATGTAATTTGGACTTTCTAGAAATTTATGATAGGTTTAATTGAAACCTAATTCAGAATTAAATAATTATAATAAAATAATTAGCACTAACTACAATTAATTAGCCTAAGTAAACCAAGCCTATATAAGGCCACTTCTAATTCATTCTACACACTTATTCCGTATTTTGAGCCCAACAAAAACTTAGAGAGAGGGAGAGAAGAGAGAACATGGAGATCAAAGCTTGAGGAGGAAGAATTACTTGGAAAATTGAAAGAATTGGAAGCGTAATTGGAGAATTGGCTTGCTAACTTAAAGACATAGTAATCTAGAGCCGAATTGAAGAGTTTAGGTAAGGATTCAAGCTTTTAGTTGAGTCATTGAGACACTTAACACATGAATTCAAGAGAATTAAGTTGATCAATGCAAGAATTGAGTTAATGAAGTAGGAAAGAGGACCATATCATGTATACATGCATTTTCACCCCATTTTAAGTTTGAATTTCAAACAATTCTCACATGCATGTAATAATTCTAGCTTGGTTTTGAGAATTCACCACATTTCATGACATTTTGTCTCAATTGATCATGTTTTGGAAGAAAAGAAATCATGTTAATTCATGCATGTTGAATTCATGTGAGTTTCAAGTTTGGTTCTAAAAGAATTGGCATGCATGAAAACAATAGGGGGAAAATGTTAGAAACCAACAATAATGTAGAAAAATTCCTAACATTGGGGTAGATCTGCAGGAGGCGGAGCTTGATTTTGCGAAATGGCTTTCAATTCATGATGTTATACAAATTTAGACATGATTTTTCAACTTTTGGCCCAAAAGAAGATGATTTTGTTCATTGGAAATGGATTTTGAACTTTGAACAACAATCTGGAAATTCCAGATTCTGTGTCTTCACTTAAACGACCGAAGTGGCGCTCGAGTGACTACCCTTTGTTTTGGACCTTGACTCGAGCGACTAAAAGTTGGCTGGAGCATAAAATTCAAGCTCCTAGTATTTTTACAGACATAAGCCTTCGCTCGAGCGACAGAACATGCGCTCGAGCTACCACTCTTATCTTTAGACCTTGGCTCGAGCGAGCAAAAGTTGAGCTCAAACATAAAATGAGAGCTCTCAGAAGTTTTGCAGACCAAAGGGTCCACTCAAGCAACAAAAGTTACGCTCGAATGAACTGCCCTGTTTTTAGAATTTTGGCTAAGTGTTTCAAAGTATATTTTGACATCCTCATTGCATCTTAGGTATTCTTAAGCCTTAATTAAGATATAATAATGAGGGTAAAACGCACCAAGATAGAGAAGAAATGAGTTAAGTGTTTTCCGAGCGTGTGTTTCAATGTGTATCCACTATGTGTTTGTGTAGGTCACGCACCATAGACTGTCTGATCTGTCCATTCTGACTGTTCTGCTACTGGAGCTATATCTGTGAGTAATAACTCTGTAAAGCTATGTTTGACTTTAATTATTTTCTGATGATATGATATGATCTATTTTCTGAAATACTATTTTCTATATGGGCGAATGATTGTCCAGATTTCTAAAATGTATTCGTGACATTCTTAGCATCATGTGATATCTATTATCTGCTCTGTAAACGTATCATATAATCATGAGTCAACTGAACATCTCATGTGATCATGAGTCAACTGTACTTCCCATGTGATCATGGGTCAACTGTTATGGATCCTAATAAACGTCTTTGTGCACATGAGTCAACTATTTGCGTCCTATACAAATGGGTTAACTATTCTGTTAATGCTAATGGATGTACCACGTATGATTATCTGTGAACTCTAAATATGAATATGAATCTATTTCTGATCTGAATTCTGAATTTTGATTTCTGAATCCGTTATGGACATCATTCATTAAAACCTTTACTCTGTTATCATTCACTAGGCTCCAGCTCACTATATTATTAATGTATGTAGATGATCAGGCGCGTGACCAGGCTCAGTGATAATTGCCTGGAGATCAGTTTTGTCAGCCAACCATCGCGCCTCCGGATAAGGTTCCCGAGTTAAAGTGTGGCTGTGATTCTACAAACAAGTTTTAAGTTATGTTTTCTTCTGTTTGTCTAAACAGTTTTGTATACTTTGTATTTAGGGCTAAGACCCTTTGACTGTATCTGTGTTGGTGATGTAAAACTAACGTAAATATGACGTCACATATATGTATATATGCTTTAAATTTTATGTCACATGTATGTCTGCATAGCTCTATGAAAATTGTATTTGATATTTCTTTCGCCAACCCCTCTAATTTTGTTTAATTGTTCAGAGGCCTTCGGTAATCCCAGAATTACTGACTGGTTACGATGCTAAACCTATAGGGACGGGTTTAGGTCGTGACACATTCCCTATTTTTCAACTACATGAGACATGTGAGATAGTATTGTCCCACCTATTAAGTTTTTCTTACATCATTGATTGAGAGTGCTATATAAACAATGTTACATTAATACTCTTCGATTGTTGAATAGTTATCTTTGATATGCACATTTTAAGTTTTGGATATGCTTATATATGTACTAGCGTTATAGTTGTGCTATGCACAGCTTAAAACATATGTTTATTATGAATATTTTTTTTTTGTTTTTTAGGATTGTCTTTGGAATCCAGAATGTAGTTTTAAATTAAAAAATGCTAGAACTTCTAAATGAATTATCAAGTATTCTACATAATACTCACATAGATCATATCTACATGAGTATTATATAGAATATTTGGTATTTTTTATTTTGTTATTATTATTATTTTTAATTTTAATTTTATTTTTATTTTTTTGAGATCCCTGGTATTGTTCTTTTAGATTTTACAACTATCATGAAATGAAATTTTATTTTAAATTTTTCATACCTAACATTAATCTATTTTTTAGCTTATTCTATGTAAATATTCATCACAAAAATGACTTAGCTATAGAGAAAATGTTAAGCTATGCATTCAAAGTTTGACTAATTAACACCAAATTCTCATAATTCTAGCATAGCTCAGTTCGACTTGCTTTGAAATTAACAACTTAATACAATATTTTGTCATGTACTATAAGGTAGAATTAAGGTTAATGTGGGGATATATTTTTGAGTACCGACATGTGGCAAGGTGACGCCGATGTGTCAACCGAGGTGCCACGCGGCAGGGTCATAACGCCGAGGTGATCTCGGTCAAGCCGAGGTTATCTCCGAAGATATCGAAATCCGAGATAAGAGATAAGGGACAAAAGTCCTAGAATAAAGAGGAGACTTAGCCAAGATAAGGATAAAGCTCTTAGGGAGTTTATCTTTATCTCTGAAGGAGTCCAAAGTAAGTACTAAACAGGAATCCATAGAAGCCAGGCTTCTAGTGGGATTAGGATTGAGGTAACTATAAAAGAGAGGCACCCCCATGGATCTAAGGTACGTAATTTTGTGCTTTTGAGCATTGAGTTTAGCATTTTTGATTATCTTTAAGAGATATACTGACTTGATCATCGGAGTGCCCCCGGGTGGTCGAAACCACCGCCGGAATCTTCTCTTTCTGTTACAGGTTAGCCAGGTGTCATCTATTCTGTCAGTGTTCTCCAGCTGAATATTGAGTTGGGCAGTGTGATCGGAAAATCACTCACACAATTCGGTGCCGTCTGTGGGAACGAAAGTAGAATAGATGGCCAGTAACGGACAAAAGGAAAAGGTTGGGGATGACACTCCTACTGGGAGTGGGAGACCTATTGACCTTGATGGCGAAGGAAAAAGGTCGAACAAAGAAACTCATGAACAAAATCACGGAGCGAAAGACGTCGGCTAGACTAGCGACGTACCAAAGAAACCTGATCAAAGCAGGTACTACAGCGAAGACGACCTCCAGGTTTGGAAGGATAGGTGCCTACGGAGGGATGAAGAGGTAAAAGAGATGGCAAACAAATTGGCAGACCTGCAGTCGGTCGTCAATTTCATGATGCAAAATAACTTCATGCAGCCACCATACCCGCTGCACGACACACCAATTCCAGCGGCCAATACACAGAAGGGAGGGCAGAAAACAATCCCCATAGCCCCTCAGCATAACGGAAACAAAAGACACTCTCACCAACCTTCTAGGGAGGTCGGACGAAGAGGATCAAGAAAAGAAGAATCACAGAGGACGCATCACATAAGGGAGGCAGACCCCAAAGGACATCGGCATGTTCAGGGGCAGGCATTGTGCTTCGACACAACTCACGGAGAAGGGTCGAAAAGGGCTCACCATGAGGCCGAGAGTAGTATACCGAAAAGACTAAAGTCAAAGGATAGCCGAGCTCCTGGGCGGAGCAAAGAAGACTTAAGAGATTACCTCAAAAGGAAGCAACAGAATGCCTACGCTGAGGTAACCTCCCCAGATAAGCCGAGGACACCATTCTCGGTGGAATTAGACAGGTTTGAAGCATCGAAGAGATTCAGTATGCCGAGGTTTCAAATATACGATGGAAAGTCAGACCCCAACTTCCACGTAGGACTCTATTTGAACTCAATGGCATTGTATAGTGGGAACGAGCCGTTGCTCTGTAAAGTGTTCCCCTCATCCTTCGGGAGATAGCATCAGATTGGTTCCACAAACTACCGAAGGGAAGCGTGAAGACTTGAGAAGGCCTGGCCGAGATGTTTGTGGCCAAATTTGTGACAAACAAGCTACAGCCATTAAGGGTGGACGCATTGATGGCTTTGAAGATCAACAAGGATGAAGGCCTTAGGGCCTATGCAAAAAGATACTATGAGGTATTCAATCGAATACCCGAATATAATCAAGAGGTGGCAGTCGTATCTTTCAAGAACGGCTTGAAAGACAACTGTCCACTTCGAAAGTCTTTGGCAAAGACATTGTAGAAAAGTATGGAGGAGCTCATGACAAGAATCGAGAAGTACGCCAGAGTCGAAGAAGACACATCAGGAACCAGGGAGATAAAACAAGAGAAAGGAAATGGCTCGCCGAAGCGAGGCCGAGGTAACAATGGAAAAAACAGGCAAGAGGCAGAACTGAGGGCCATACAAATGGTAACAACTGTGTTCCGAATCCCAATTCCTAAAGTCCTGGATCAAATTCGGAACCAACCCTATTTCAGAATGCCAGAAAGGACTCTAGGAGAGTTCATGGGAAGAAACATTGGCAGACATTGCGCCTACCATAATGAAGACGGGCATACAACTCAGGGTTGTAGAGCCCTGAAAACATATTTGGAAGACCTGGTGAGACAAGGACATCTGAGAGACCTTGTCGATGAAACCAGGACAAGGGAAGAACATGTAAGGTTGCCTCAGGCACCAGCAGCCCCACCTCCCCTAGCACAACAGCCACAGGCAGGAGGACCTCGGATAATCAACGTAATCCACTCGAAGTCAACGAAAACGAAATCCGAGGAGAGACCCAGAAAGTGAAGCACCTGCAACATGTCTACCAAGTCGGGGAGAAAAGACATCGGGCAGAAGAGTGCCAAGGACCAATGATAACCTTTACTGAAGCCGACCTAGAGATAGTCCAGCATCCGCATAATGATGCCTTGGTAGTATCCCTCCAGGTTGGGGAGTGCCAAGTGAAACGCATCCTGATTGATTAAGGCAGCTCTTGTAACATCATGTACGTTCGATGTTACAAGGAGCTCGGCCTTCACCTAGATGATATGGAACAATCCAACGCCCAATGGTTGGGTTCAATGGAACGCCGACATGGCCACTAGGAACAGTAAGCTTGGAGGTGCAGGCTGGCACCAGGAAGATCAAGACAGAATTCACCATTATCGACACACCCTCTCCTTACAACATCATCTTGGGAAGGCCATGGTTGCATGCAATGGGGGCAGTTCCCTCAACATTGCATCAACTATTGCGATTCCTAACAGAGCATGGGATAGAGGAAGTCAGAGGCGATCAACTGAAGGCGAAGAATTGCTCCATGGCAGCAATGAAATCTACCTGTAGCATACGAGAGCCGGAGAAGGCAGAAATTGAAGATGAGGACGTGGAAGTCCTAGAAGACGTTGCCAAAGAGCCAGCCGAAAAGAGCGAAGAGGCACTAAAGAAAATCCTCGTCCAGGATGGGGATGAAGAACGCTTCTTTCTTCTAGGCTCGGGCTTAGCCGAAGAAGAGGAAAAAGAGTTGGAAAATTTTTTGAGAGCAAATATTGAGGTATTCGCTTGGACACCTTATGAAATTTCTGGCATTGACCCCGAGGTCACTTGCCACAAACTGAATGTTGACAGGTCGGCCAAACCTGTAATTCAACAAGCCAAAAGACCGACGTTGATGCACGTCGAAGCAGTAGAGGAAGAAGTAGACAGACTTCTAGAGGCCAGGGCCATTAGAGAAGTACACTACCCAACATGGCTATCCAATACAGTGGTGGTAAAGAAGAAGAACGGTAAATGGAGGGTCTGCGTAGACTTTACCAGGCTTTCCTCTACCCAAGATTGACCAGCAAGTAGATGCCACTTCAGGGCATGGAAGAATGAGCTTTCTAGATGCCTACAGGGGGTACCACCAGATAGCCATGTACCCCTTAGACGAAGAGAAGACAGCGTTCATCACCCCAAAAGGCCTGTACTGTTACAGAGTAATGCCTTTTGGATTGAAAAATACAGGAGCAACTTACCAAAGGCTAGTAACCAAAATGTTCAAACACCTGATTGGCCGAAAAGTAGAAGTCTACATCGACGACATGGTCGTTAAGATCAAGGAGCCTGAAGGTCATCTTGCCGATCTAAAAACAGTCTTTGAAATCCTTAAAACATATCGGCTCCGACTCAATGCATCGAAGTGTGCATTTGGAGTTGGATCTAGTAAGTTTTTAAGATACCTAGTGACTAGAAGGGGCATCGAGGCCAGTCC